GGTACAGGAGACAGCTGCTCCCTGTACCCGCGGACCATGCTGCAGTGAGGGAGCTGACAGGAGTGTCAGCCTCTCCCCATGCTGCGCCCGGGCGGTGCGGTCCGCCCTCATGGACGCACCGCCCGGGCAATTCTGCAGCCACCCGAGGCTCTTTACAGAGCGCTCGGGCGGCTGCAGCATGGGGGGGGGGCGGCGGGGCTGGCCATGGCACCCCCCATCCTGGTGGCACCCGGGGCGGACCGCCCCCCCCGCCCCCCCCTTAGTACGCCACTGGTTAGGAGTAGGCGTGACTGTGGATAGTGGTAAATCTGCCTTATCCATTCTCATATATTATTCCTTTTGTCTTCTGTATATCCAAAACATGTGTATGTCCAGGCGTTGCAATATACAGTAATGCATTATTGGTCATGATATTAAAATCTCATTCTCATAAATTAAATCAAAGATTTTAATCCAACCCCAGAAGTAGTTTTTCCTTCTGTAAAATGATTGGAGGTACTGTATAAGCGCGTACACCCAAAATAACATACATTGCATGTTCCTAACAACTGCTACATTAGTGTATTTCAATCTGAGACACTTGCAACCTTAATGTAAATTTATTTTAATTAATTAACCTAAAACTTTCCTATAACACATAAGAACAATGAAAAAAACAGTACAGACTAACAATTCAGTAAAACAATAAACTAGCCTGTGACGAGAGCAATCTCGCCACATTGCATTGAAGGAGCCTGGTTGCCCGCCTGCTGCCTTTGGATTATGGACCAGCAGTTAAACGGTTAATTTTACTGTGCAGAAATATTTATTCCTTCCTTTCTGCACAGCCGTTCGGTAGATTCTATTTACCCAACAAACAGACTTCTATCAGCCTCCCCAGAGCCGTGGGAAGTCGGCCGGCGCCGTTAATTGGCCACCCAGAAGCTGGCGTGTGCCCTCCATTTACCTCGCTGAAGCCGCGGTTAACCGCGGCTTAACGAGCGTGTGCCGGCCATAGACCACCCAGTAGCTGCAGTTAACCGCAGCTTAATTGACTGTTACTGGGTGGTCGCGGTTACACCTAGCCGCCACACGATGGCGATGTTCTGGAGCTCCCCGGGCAGCCAGCGCTTTTCTGCCCGGCTTTCCTATGCCAAATCTGGACACTGTGTCAGCTAAGCACCGCTGAGCCTCCAGCCCCTGGTTCTAATTCGTACCAATTTAACGAATGTATGTAAATTCTGTATTTTGTGTTGGGGGAATGTTTTAACCCAGATAGCTATGCCATGGAGCCTATTCATGTAATTAAAGACTTTGGCTCCATGGCAATTAAACTGTATTTGTGTGGTCTGAGTGCCATTCACCTAATAATGTGCGCTCAGACCTGAGCTATCTGGGGATATGTTACATGTCTGTGTTTTATGTAATAAATGTTACTTTATGTATTTTAAAGTATAATACTGGTTTTGTGTCCCCACGCGTGTGATGGAGTTTTGCCTTTGTCTTGGGAGATAATTGAATTACTTCTCAAATTATCTCCCAGGGCAGAGGGGAGGAAGCCAGGATGCATTGTGGGAATATACTGTGACTGTGTGTCCTATTTGTCTACTTGTCTGTCCCTTGTCACAGTCTCCCATTTGGTCCCCTAGGGGAGTGTCCACCAGGTGGGAGACCTGCATAAATACTGGGCAGGTAGCCCTCATTAAACAGACCACTGCTTGACCCTCAACACGGAGCTCTCTCTGGTCTTTGGGGGGGATTTACTGTATGCTGATAGAGACTGATTGCCAGGAGTGTAAGCCGCTTGGGTGCTTTTCCTGTTCGTCTGCTAGCAGCTATTCGTGAGGTTCCAGTTTGGGTGTTTGGAGAATTCCCTTGTATGCAGTTCGAGTGTCTGGAACATTCCCTTGTATGCAGTTCGAGTGTTTGGGGCATTCCCTTGTATGCAGTTCGAGTGTTTGGAGCATTCCCTTGCATGCAGTTCGGGTGTTTGGAGCATTCCCTTGTATGCAGTTCGGGTGTTTGGAGCATTCCCTTGTATGCAGTTCGGGTGTCTGGAGCATTCCCTTGTATGCAGTTCGAGTGTTTGGAGCATTCCCTTGTATGCAGTTCGAGTGTTTGGAGCATTCCCTTGTATGCAGTTCGGGTGTTTGGAGCATTCCCTTGTATGCAGTTTGGGTGTTTGGAGCATTCACTTATTGGCGGTTCGTGTGTTTGGTGTTCTGCAGTAGCTGTGCCTGCGTCTCTGGAAAGGGGGCCGATCGCCTAAACGGTTTTTACCCCTTTTGTGCAAAACGGTCCGTTACATAACCTAAATCTCTATTCCTGTGCTGTTTTTAACTCTGGAATCAGCCTGCGCACATCTGTTGGAACCTATATCCATGCTCATTCTCTAAAGCTATCACGTCAGGTGAAGTTCTCTGATTCTTATAACTTTCTATGTTACACTGCATTAATTGTTCAAATTTGACTCAAACATTTCAGCATTAGTAAATGCATCCACCGATGTGTCATAAACTGGAATACATTTCACAATTTTCATTAATTGTGTTACAATTCAAATAAACATTCTATTACATAAACAGTAGCTCTTAGAGATAATCAGTACGAAAAGGCACTTTATAAAAGGTGTGAGCCAAACACAGGACAACACAAACACTTTAAACTATTAATTCCTATGGATATTGTCCAGCAATAAACCTCCTTTTAACTTAGCAGCAAGCCCTCTACTTATAACTCAGCAGACTTATCTCCCTCACATTCCTCACTGGGTTTCATAAGTGTATCACCGATTCACCCCCTCCCCCTTTAACCAAACACAAGGGTGGGGGCCGAAAGAGAGAGGGTACAAGCAAAGGTTGTCAGCATTTGCAGCCAGAGAGGTTAACTATGTGAGTGCTGTACAGAAACAAGAATACAAAAGAACAGGAAATAACTCTACATTCATTGCAAACAAAAACCCAAGGAGTTACATCACATTTACCCTTCTCTCATTAGAATAGAGGAGGAAAGTTAGAAGACAGACATAGACTTATAAAATCGGTATAACAAATCACAAATAAAATATGTACACAGACATAAATCAAGGAAACATCAAGCTGCACACACACTTGCAATCACGTCACAAACAAAGGAATTCCAACTGAACAATCATGAGAGAGAGCCAGAAGAAGGGGCGGGGGAACAAGCAGAGTTGCAAGCACAAACTTATTAACCATGTGATTGCCTAAGCACAGCTCTCCTTAGGACAAAAGATAGAAGAGGAGAGTGACAAGACGTAGACTTATACATTACAATTAACATATATTGTACACAAAAAACATATACAGGTGAAAGCACAATATACAGATGTAATTAAATCACAAATTCCTTAAAATAAATGCCGGCTAACAATAAACTCAGGTCACACACACACACACTCAATCACATAGACAATAACTTTTTAACTCTTCACCGAGCATGCTAAAACAAAAGACGCCAGTTTTTTACCAAACTAACTTAGCTAAAACAAATCACGCCAGCTTCTTTACCAAAGCTTTAGCGAAAACAAACCACGCCAGCTTCTTTACCAAAGCTTTAGCGAAAATAAAACAAGCCAGCTTCTTTACCAAAGCTTTAGCGAAAATAAAACAGTGTTTAGCAAGTAGTAAAACGGATTCTCAAGCAGACACTTTCACACTCAGGATGTAGATAGACAAATTGACAGGTTCTTTTAAAGTGACACTCCGGGCAAGATATTTACCTGTCTTTTTTTTTGTTTACCTTTCGATAGTCGTCATGGACAGGAACCAGGCCAGCCCCAAAGATAGGAGATATATGCAAGTTGCTTACGCATTCCTTACCATATATGTAGAGAGGTGATCAATCTCGTCCAATCTAGGGGGCGTCTGCTCTCCGGTATCTCTCGCCAGGAAAAAAACGCGGAGTGTCCCATCTGGGGTGCCAGCTGATTTGGATCAAACAAACTGTTTGATTATTTGTCTATCTACTCCTTTCTAAATTGATTGTGCGCATGTCTTCTAGAAGTAAAACACACCGGACACATTGCAGGTTTATGAAGGACTTCAGAATGGCTTTTATTCAAGGGGGTGCGATCCCCTTTTAAAGCAGAAATACATCATGTACAGAGTCACAGTTAACATAAAGTATACATTCATCAATTGGTTAACAGTCTAAGGGGTCTTGTCTAAACCCACCTTACTGGGCGGGACCCCAACATCATCACATGACATTTCTTTGTATCCCAGCCCCATTCTAGCTCCATTTTACTACACGTGGCATGTTTCAATAGAGAGCTTTTAGTTGCTCAAAGGAAGTGGGGGAGGAGTTAGTAAAGGAAGCTGTTCCTTTAACACAGGAATTTGTTACACAAGGTTTGCTCGATGGGAAGGGGGGAGGGTAGCAGGATGGGAGGAATTTACAGAGGAAATAGTTGCTGAGCACATAGAGGGGGGAAGGGAAGCTTTTACTCTAGTAGCCAGTTTTACACAGTGAACACAGATACACAGAATAAATAAACATTAGTAAATAGACATTTTATCCATTCAAGTATTTTGTCCATAACACTAGTATGTCTCTGCATCAGTGGCTTTGCGGCAGTTCCAGTCTGAGTTTGTTTACCAGATATTTTACAAATCTCAGACTTCAAAAATACAATCTCCTGCCGCAATATAGAGAACTGTCTACAGATAAGACAGCATCCAAATCTCCAAAAAGTGGAACGTGAAACCAATGCATAACAACTATTATACTGAACTAAGTCAGCCATTTTAATGAGGTGAATAATTTAAATCAAACAAATCTTAACTTTTTTTGCCCTCCTGTACACCTCAAATTACCTCCAGAATATCTCCAATCACACACTTTGATGCAGCACTTAGATTTAGCAACCACGCGATATTAGCCAAGCTAATGACCACAACCCTTATATAACTCCTAAAAGCACCACCCACTGGGAATGTTATAGCCTGGGTAGGCCTATGCTTATTTGCAAACAATAGCTAATTAACCAACAATCAATAGCAAACACCTAGCTAATCAAATGCCTTACCAATTACTAAGAGGAAATCAAAGCTTGTGCAATCAGTAACCTTTTTCCTATAGATAAATCTTACCTGTAACAGTAAAAAAGCAAACTCTTAGCAAAATTTTAGACAGTTGAAGATTCTGTAAAACTCTCTAGAATATCTCCAATCACGCACTTTGAAGCAGCACTTAGATGTAGCAACAAAGCTATATTTGTATCAAGTGTCAGTTTTTTTAATACATAAAGGGATTTATTTGTATGGAGTGTCAGTGAGTGAACACAAGACATAAAGTGCATATCATGTCAGTGTGGTTATCAGTATCATGTCTGTCCATGATGTAAATATAACAAACATTAGGATCTTCTTTGTCTTTGCTCATGCATGTTATTTTGTGTTTTAAATTCCAGCTGTGACTTTAGTTATCTCATGACTATGTTGAACTATTGTTTACCTAGCTGTGTTTGTTTCAGTGTCTCTTATTCATCCTTAGTGCCTACATATGTAGCCTCATTTGGTCTGCTGTTGTAGTAG